ACCCTCACAGAAATTCGACAGGTTGGTCAAGCATCACTTCCCCTTGGGGAGGCCACGCTGACTGCCCCGAGGACTTGCTTGTCCTTTGTGTGCCTGGAAGTGCCTTCCAGGATTTGCTGTTCATTGTGTTCCCAGAGACCGAGGTGAGGCCGACCGGCCTCTCAAAGAATCAGAAGTCAGTCACCTAGAATTACTAACTCACGGAGATCTGTTCCTAAACTCAAGCAGGCAGTCTGCCTCAGCTGCTTACGGAGCCCGATCCAGTCACAGCATGACCTGTCTCCCAACAGAAATCAAGAGGCAAGATCTTTTTGTTGCCAATATGAACTTATGTCATGAGACAGCAAGTTTCACACAGAAATGTAACTGTGGAGAATATTTCTGTAATTCACGATGTACTCAAAAGTTAAGAGATGAAAAATACTGGATAGAAAGTTGCCAAAGGGTGGAATCCTCACACCCTGCTGCCACTATTCTGGTTAGGTTGACTCATATCTTTTAGATGTAAAAAATAACAGTAAGGACCAGGAATAACTGCATTCGTGCAGAACGTCACTCTCTCTTATTCCAACAGGAAAGCGTTGTAGTTACCCGATGGATCTGGTTCTTCCCACATATCAGTCCACTCCCAGACAAAGTACCTGCTGCTGGAACCGATAGGGCAGCCCGTGTGGAAACACAGCTTTCACCTCCTCGAGCGGAATGCTGTAGTGGCGGCCCTCATGCTGCCCGGTGTGCTTGGCCTGGGAAGGTAAAACACCAGCTGTAACACTCAGGAAAGTCTGATACCTCTTTTCTGGATACAGAAGGCCTGCGAGAGCAGAACTGGGAGGGAATGCTCAATCAAAGCAAGTACCTACTTACTGAGAGTCAGAACTGGCATATTAAAGTACAGCAGGAATTGTAGCAGCAGGACACTGCTTAGGAAGAGTCTAAAGCAAGGACATCCCACCGGGCAATAAATAAAGGGATTCCTTGAGCTTGAGTATGAACCGTGGTGTTTTGATTCCATCTCAACCGAAAATGGAAGCAAGAGATTGGCATGCACAAGAATAAAGAGTGGCACCAGTGGCCCTATGATTCAGGAATTTATCTAATCTTTCATTAGTCCACTTGTACTTCTGGCCACCACAGTATCTTAACAGCAATATGATCCCCTTTTGAGTTATCTGCTAGGTTCAAATTTACATTAAACCTGTGACAAAGTTTTCTGGTTTGTTCCTTGCTGTTACCTCTCAATAGTAATTCCTAGTTTGCCTTGTTGACTACGACTGGTTGCTTCAGAACTCATCATTTGTTCTCTGGGGCAGTAATTTCAGGACCTTGTTGTGACCTAGTAGTCAGTATTATTCCTCCAGTGGACCTGCATTGTTCTGCACTGATTTATAGTGATTACTTGAAGATCTCTGACTATGCACTCTAAGAAACAGCTGTTACTGGTATCTGAAAATTTAATACCTGTTTCATGCCTTGGTATACATCCTTGTTTTTTCCCTTCATTATTCTATTCTTCTACCATGCAATACTTGCAAAGCACTTATTTATTTACTCTTGATCTAGTCATCAAGTTTTTGTGTCTTGTATAATTAGGAGATTACACAGAGACACTATTCTGCAGTACATCCTGTGTGATTTTTACCAACTTTTGTGGCAAGCTTTGTCTGGCTTTTTTAGCAGCTTTGTGCAAAGCTTTGAAACTCTTCATGTCCTGCTCTATACTTTCTGCACTTTTCCATGCATTTAAAGTAAAAATATCCCCCTCTTTATTCTTGTGCATGCCAATCTCTTGCTTCCATTTTGGTTGAGATGGAATCAAAATGTAAGAACTTCCTTGTTGTCTTTATTTTGCCTAATAATGATTCAGGAAAAGTAGTTTTATTTACTATTTAGAAAGAAAAAGAAGCTGTTGTTATTTCTGCCAGCTTTAGCAGATTTGGGGGTTGATCCAGACCTTCCTTGTATTCCTTATTAGCTCTGGTGTAGACACAGAGCTTAATTTACTGAGGCCCAGAACAGATGAGACAATATGGGCCTGGGCTTGGTCACTCACGTGTGCAGCCTGGCTGACAAATGGTTTGACAGAAGGAATGGATGGGGAGAAAACCCTTGTGATGAGTACTGCTACCCTGACCTGGCTGTCCTCCTCACGCAGAACCACGTGAGCAGCTGTACCTACAGGTTTGACTAGTGCCTGCTTTTGCCATGAATATTTTGCTTTTCCCTCGAATATTTTGCTTTTCCCATTTTCTTGATGGACTCTTCATGCACAACTGCTGCAGCTCTGTTGCAGACCCATGAATTCTCTAGCCCCAGGATTCTTGCTACATGTTAGTCTCCTTCCCTTTCTTCAGATTTTCAGTGTCTCAGCATGCAACATGCCTGTTCTCTTACCTTCTGCCCCCCTCCCCTCTGAGAAGCCCATGGTAACCACAGCCCTAGTCCATAGCTGGCTGAGGAAGGTACCTGGGCTCTGTGGCTCACCTTGGGGCAGCTGTAGGATTCGACGTACCCAGAGGTTTGCTGAACTAGTTATAGGATGAAACCGTTTGGTCACTTCAGCAAACTGCTATCTAAACTGCTTGAGTCGCCAGTCTGGTGTTTACTGGTCAGTAAATCTTAGCAACAGGAAGAAAATTTTAAAAACCTGGGAGATGGACTGAATGACTGGATGTTACTGGGAGATGGACTGAAGAGGAGACCTATGAAGAAAGACTTCAGTCTTTTTCCAAGCAGAGCTGTATTTCAAACTCTGGGCTGGATTCCCTGGAGTTTTGCTGCACGTGTTGGTCACAGAGTGACAGGACCTGTGCTGGTGCAGTGCTACCCATGGACTTGAACAGAAGAGCAGTACTCCAGAGATCATTTTCGTTCTCAGTTTCATCACTGACTCACTGCATAACCTTGGGGAAATTCCTTCACTCTTCAGCTCCTACATCTGAGAAGTGGGTCAGTATCTTTAACCTCATATTTAGTGACTCTGAGTTTTGCTAATGGAAAGGTGTATAAAAGCTAAGTCTTATTAAAAATTTAGTTTTCATCTGGTCTTCTTTATCCATTTTTAATGGGACTTTACGGTGCCCCAGTATGGGTGCAGTCGGAGCTCTCAGAGCCACAGAGCCTCTCTGCTGCAGTCCCCGACCTGCGGCCCAGCCAGTCCCAGGAACGCTGATCTGACAAATTAATAAGCAATGGCGCCTGTCGCCAAACATCAGGCACATGAAGTCAGAATGCCAAAGCCAGTTGCCTGGCAACGTAAATGGTAGGCACAGGACAGTGGGGACAATCCTTGCCATCTGGACTCTTCTGTGCAATCTATAGACACACTCGCATCACGTGAGTAAGATCATCTGCATGCTGCTGTTTCCATAGAGACCCCAGAGGAATCAGTATTGAAAGACTCCAATTACAGAGGCAGCAGAAAAGCACCTCAAAGGCTTATTCCATTCATTTATTCCACTTCATTTTGTGCTTGAGACAGAGAGTGTGAGGCTGGAATTATGATGCTGGAGAGCTGTGCTGTGCTGAGGTCATCTGGGGTGTGTTTTTTATCCCCCTTCACAGCCAATTTGAGGAGGTTAGTCAGGGAAGAATAACCCTGGAGTTGAAATTAATGGTGTCTGATGACAAGCTAAGCCACATCTGAGCTTCTACAATACACAGTCTATCTATCTCATCTGTACAACTATAGAGAAGGAATCAATACTTGCTCCCCGGAGCTTTCAGGCAGAGGACCAGCCCTGTCTTGTTCAAACCCAGGCAGGTGCACTGCACAGCCACGGCCTGTTTTCCTTTGGGCTGGGGATCATGGTCTGGACGCCTATTATTAGGCCTGTGTACTCCCCTCCTTCCAGTTTACCAGAACAACCCAATCCCAGTAAGCACTCCTGGCTCCAGCATGTCCACAGGCAGACTGACAGAACTCAGGCGCTTGCTGTCTGACAGTAACACTTGTGGCAGTAACTCACCGGGTCGTTCTCACTGGTATAGAAAACTCCTCTTGGTCTTTCTGACAGTGTTTGGACATCCTGGCTGACCACGGAACTTAAGCAATCCTTGGCTGCCGTATGGAGGGCATACCCATGGTCCAGCTAGGGAAAGAAAAAGGCAAACAGACAACAAACTTCTTGGCAGTCAAAGATTACCAGTTGAAAATCCAGTTAGTGGTTTGTTTTGTACACTCACTGCACGCACATTATGATGGGGTCAAGGTAGCATGCAATACAGAATAAAATTCTCTGCAATTAGAATAAAAATTCATCATTAGAATGTAAATTTATCATGAAAAAACCCACGCTTTAGAACCACATTTCACATTTAGATGCCTGCTTCTAAACCATTTCCATTCAATTAAGTCTGCTACCAGTTTAAGTCATGTAGACAGCCCAGCCCTGTCCCCTGTCCCTTTCCAGATTGCTTAAGAGCACAAGTAGAGCCATTAAGGTTTTATTGCTGGGCAGTTCCCACAATATTTCTGCCTACACCAATGAATAGTAGCTAGTACCTTGAAAATTCAAGCTGTCTAATAATCCATAATCACCTTAATTATTGAGGGATTAGTGCAGTGCTGCCCACTATTTGATATTTATAATTACATTCCCTGCACTGGTTTTCCTAACTGTGTCCCTGCATACAGACTCTTTCATTATAATACAGACGTGGCTGAGAAACTGAAACAGCCAGCTAAGCTGATTAATTCTTTTTTCCATAGACAGACTGCTGAAGCATGCCTGTAAAGCCTAGCCAAAATAGGCAAGAAAGTGAGTAGTAGAAGGACAAGCACTTTATTATGCTATGGTGAAAGAAAATATAAGCATTCGTCAATGAATAAAAGTGTATTCTCCAAACAGAGGCTGTGACCAAAGCCTGCAGAACTGAAAGCCACCCTTCATATTACTGACTGGAACAGTTGCAGGCTCCAACTGTAAACAGAGCAAGTAGTTTCCTATTTTGTCTGTCTGCTAAGATGAGAGTAGCCATAAACTCAAGTTTAGAGACAGGAACAGCTGTTTCAGTTCTCCATGGCATGAGGCAATTCTGCTGTCATCCAAGTTTTCCTCAGGGGGTCATTTGAAAGCCACAAGGGCTCAGAAGAAAGTGTAATGTCGGATTACCCCACATCCCATGTTAAACACACAATGGACTCCTGAATCAGCATTTCAGCACTCACTCTCCTTTTAGGGAAGGAATTAAACCAGTTTATAACTCAACACGAGATACCTGTATAACATCCTGCAGCGTGAGTATGGGAGATCACTCAACATTCACTTCTGTCACCGCATTCTTGTTCCCACAACATTCTTTTCCTCCTCAAATCCAGACGATCAGTTAGGATGTCTTATTTGCCATGCTTAAAGTCCACAGAAGCGACAATTTACAGCCTCGAGCAAGGCACTAAGATGCTAATTTAATACGCGAATATCTAGAGCATGCAGCTATTGTCGCCTGTTCACCTAGAAAATGTCAGCCTGAAGTCATTCCTAGTCTGGAATCATAGTCCCTCTCATTTTCTTTGCACGTCCTGCATTCCCTCCTTCTCAGGTCTCAAGTGAAGGTCTTGGGGCTGTGAGCTTTGCTCACTTAAAATAAAGGGCAAGTTTACTGCTGTGTGGACATCCTTTCTCTGGAGTACCATACAAATCCTTGTCCCTGACCTGTGTAACAGTCAATGAAAATTAAGGAAGGATTAACTTCCCGAGTGTGTTCAGTTTTCATGTGTGCCTAGATACAGCTCAAGACTTCAGCTGAATGATACTTAGTCAAACCAATATTACCAATACCACTTTTTTAAAGCACCATACCAGATCAGCAGGAGTTGGATTCCCTATGGTACAAAAGCCAGTTCCTAGTAAATTCTATGAAGGGAGCACAAGACAGCACAGCAAGACAGGGTGCAAGTGTGAGAAGGACTTTGTCTTCAAGTCCAGTCCTCTGTTCTTACAGCCAAGTATGTAGAATTTCTATTTTTCCATCAGAAGAACATACCCCATTTTTAAATTACTATGTCTTTCTCCTGCAAGGATACCATTTTAGAACATCACTTCTTTGAACTTTAGCACGATAATGTCTTTCTCAAAATCTCCGTGTAGCCTTGTAGTGCTTTGGAACTTTTCCTTTGTGGACTGTAGCCTGCACTGGGCTGCAGAAGCAGCTTCTCAGTACTTGGAGACACGCGAGCCTTCCTAAGCCTCTGCAGTGCTACAAAATCAGCATAAGCTCCGAGGGTAGTGAATCACACTACTCACAGTTATCCTGAATTTGAGATAAAGACTTGCATTTTGTGAATTAGTTTCCATTTACAAAATTCATGCAGAAGTCCATCTGCATTTTTAGCAGGCTACAGGAATACCTTTGAGTGACCTAGAATACCACTGCTAATGCATTATATATTCTGACTTTATGCCGCTTGATCCCCCCTCCTGAACAAAAGACAGTGGCTTATCACTGATCCCCTCGACTTCTGGCATTCTGCACGAGACATCTACCTTTCTGACTCACTGTAGAGCTCTGCGTAGTAAATCCTAACGTGTACGTAAGGCTCTCAGATGTTCACATCATCTTTTAACACCGTTTATCCTAGTAGTGTAGAGTGGATTTTATAGTAAGTTTCCATCTGCCAAAGGACAGAGTAGTCTAACTCGGATCCCTGAAATGGCAGCAATCACGTGGTACATGGAGATTAATCACAAAGTCATGTGCCATAAGGTGGAGCTGTTCCTACATGTTTTCACATATCTTGGTCTCTAGAAAAGACTGTTTATTTCATAAAGGCTGCCATCATAAGTACAGTACTGTACAACCAGGATCTCATCTCTGGAAACCAGTAGTTCCACAGTCATCCTATCTAATTATGATTTATCCTAAGCACATCACTATGGACTAGTGAAAAAGCATTTAAAAGACAACAGCAAACAACTGAAATTCTTTACCGTTAGTAAGCCGTTCCAGATATGCAACATCAACTCATTCTGCTGTTTATAACATAAGGAGGCTTTCCTGGTAACGTAGTGCTGCAGTGTTGTGGCAGAGCTAATAGTACAACCTCCACCTGAAGCACTGAGCCCTTGGGCAAATGTTCTTCCCACCAGCAACCCAGGCTTTGTGAGGGGCTGGTGCTTCTGTCCTTCCTTTGTGCTCTCCAGCAGCGCAGAGCAAGTAGATTCTCTGTTTTCTGAGAAACACTTGCATTAAAGATGGAGAATTTCGACATTCTGGACATTGCAGAATGCTAAACTTTAACAAATGTCTCATTGAAGCCAACTCTCCCGGCTTCTTGCTCATTCTCTCTGTAGCCGTGGGAGAGAAACGTAAACGCAGTCACGCACACAAACTGTCTCTCCTTCCTTTGCCCATAATGGGAGTTTATGCAGCCAGCCTATAGGAGGCACCGGGTTTTTGATGATCAATGTAAGAAGAATCTCACTTTTTACAGTTTGTAAATTGTCATTGCAGTTCACAGGACAGCTGAAATACTGGAAGCAGCATAGTGCTATTACAGAACTTACCCAGAGAGGATGGTGGACAAGACCTTTCAGACTTCTCAGCATTTTTCTGCAGAGACAGAAGTGGATTTTTTTAGGGTTTTTATTATGTTTAATGGCAGAGAATTGTTCCTGCCTAACGAGCTTAAAGCCTAGGCACACAGATAATTCAGAGAAGCTGTCAGAATGCTCTGCAGCAATACAGTTGACTATTGATAATCAGCATTATTTGCCTAATAAAAAAATATTCCATTAATTATGTTGCCTTTTTTCCAAGAGACATTTACCAAAAAACCTTACAAGCTTTCATTTGATTCATCTAGTGAGGAGAACAGATTTTTTTATTGGGGAAGGGCATCTATTTTATCTGCAGCTGTTAAAGCAAGAGGAAGGGCTACACAGTGATCATTTTGAAGAAACTTGAATAATGCAGAGACTGAAGATGCTTCTGTGTCTCTGGCTTCCTCCTAATCATATATTAGTATCTACTGCTCAGCTGTCTTTGATTACAACAAGAGAAAAAACAAAACACTTGAACAATTAAGAATTGTGATGCAAAAATAAAGGCAAAAAGCTAAGTAAATTAGTTAAATCTGTCATCTGTGCCAGCATTCAAGGCCTTCTTCATAGCACCTTCTTAGGAGAAAATAATGACAGTACCTAACAATGATGCTTTAAGGGTTCTTGGTTGCACTAAGGTACACAATGAATTCAGAGTGAGATAATTACCTTTTAATTCTTTAGGAGGAATAGCTGTCTTAGTGAAATCGGTGGTTAACTGCAGTCTTAATGCTAAGCAAGACAAAGATGATTTAACTGCATAGAATAGCATCTACAACTGTTACTGCATAGAATGAGGAAACTCCACACTAAAGGATGTTAATTTTGTAAAGGTGCTCTACATTCATTCATCTAACAATCAGTGCACAATACATATTTTTAAAAAAAAGCCCCGGTTTTGCTATTTCGAGAATAATGTGAAGATAACAGCCTGTGAAGGCTTTTTTAGTTATTTGTCTTTGCCATGCTAGCATGTACAGCAGAAGAGGAAGCAGAAATTCCGCTCCACATGAGAATGTATCCCGTTTGTTTCAAATGACAGTTTTAATAGTAAAGAAAGTAGGGATGGGAAAGCTGTTTTCTCAAGCACAACTTGTAAAAATAAAAAAAAAAAAAGTAAACCCTGAAAGTTTCGGTTTGTTTTGGGCACCCCTAACATTCTGACAGAGCTCCTGAATGATTGATTACTTTGCCACAAGTGGTAAGGGCTCTTCTCTAGGGATTGTCTGTCTGTGGGAGGGGAGCTTTAGCAGAACAGCAGATTAAAACTGCAGCCACCTCACTGATTTGTACCTGGGTCAAGTTACAAAGCTGACCTAGTCAGCGTACTGTTCCATTGTAGAAAAAATACTTGGCTGCTTGTGGTCTTTAGGAAAGGACTTATAGATCACAATATAATTTGCTAGCAAAAATTACACAAAGAACCCCGAAAGTGCTATCTGCAGACATCATTTGGTAATCCTAACCGATCACCTCTCCAGACTACATTAAAAACAAGTTTCTGGTTGCTTGCGGGCTGTGATTTACTACTGGCTTCAGGAACCTGAAGCCAAGTGGCAGAAACACAGGAGTAAAGACGGAAACAACTTTGAGCTAACCAGAGCGTTACTGTCTTAGGACGAGTGATGTCTGCACGCCCGCGGCTGTTCCAAGGACCTTTTCCCCACTTTTCCTTCCCATGTGCTCTGCACCGTTCTCCCGAATTCTCTTTTTCTAGACATACACAGGACTGAGGTAACAAAGGGGCATAAAGTTACATCACCCAACCTGATCTAGAAACGGGAGCCGCTAGAGAAAACCGGTAGAAGTGAAGTTCTGTTCGTAAAACCTGCGGAGGGAACTAAAGGAAACCGGCCCGCCTTCCCCTCCCGCCTCCCGCCTGCCCCGGCTCCCGGCAGCCCACAGGCGCCTTCCCTCGGCCTC